TGCTAGTAATTACGGTTTATATGGCAAGATAAAATCAATCATAGAAAACCCTAATCTCAAAGACAAAATGCATGCAATCAAAACACTTTTTACACTTGCACCTCTAGGGTATACCCCACTTGTTGCCTTCAAATAAACAATCATGTCCCTGGAACGTGAGATACTTTAGCAAAGACCCTCGATTACAAGATCGTAGTCCCTCGATGACGCTTCAATGTTATCTTCGGTAAATGGTCTTAGACCTTTACGACAAATTGCTAAGGTGTCCTACAATGTTGCCTTCAATAACTGTACGATGACCCACGCCCGTCCCCTCACATCCAATGATATGATTTCTTACTAACTAATAGTAAGATAACACTATCTAAAGGAGGAGGAAAATAACTAAGACTTTTTGAGTAGGTAGAATGCTCGTAGTTGCTTGCTCATAAATAAAACCATCTTCACACTTAAACTTTCAAAACATCTTTCCAAAAACAAACATCTCTTTGAACTATTGTCAAAACCAACACTTTGTATACATTCTCGCTGAAACGAGAATCATTACAAAGTTCGCCTAAACAAAGGCACTTTTCAAAAATACTTTCAAACAATCACAAACACATTTCAAAATAAAGCATCTCAAAGTGAGCTAGCAACTAAGAGCCTGTAGATAACTATAGATGAAAAGGGTGCTAACACCTTCCATTTTCATAACCTACCCATCGAACTCAAGAAAATTCTCAAAATGTCTTTTCTGTTCTTTTCACCCTCTCCTTTATTGGATAAAAGAAAAGTCAGTGGCGACTCTTGTTATCCGCAACAATTGCGATAAAACTCAAAACATCCATGTCAGTTCTCCCACTGTATTACAATCCCCTCAGTACTTCTGAAGAAGATGGAGTAGAGAACTCAATCAATAAGGATTTAAGGGGTGCAGTTACCCGTCTTTCCTCCTTCATTAAGTCTTATATGAATCCAAATGTAACTATAGCAGTTAGAGATGAATTATGAGCTCTTCGTTTTACCAATACTTTTAGGGAGGCACATGGTCAGGACCCTAGTGATATAGAGAATAGGGATCGTCTTGCTTTTAGGAGTAGAAGTGTAGTTTCTAACCGGCATTACCTTTTTCATGACAGTTGAAAAGAAATGGTTAAACATGGACGCACATGTTTAGCAGAGCCAACAGACACCCATATGTACCTCTAGGTGAATCCTTGATTGGTGGGAATATTTCCTTATTTTGATAACTCCAAGAAAATAAGGAAACTCACATAGAAGTAGATCCTTCCTCTGACTGGTTATTATCACATGTTGATGATGGCAAGAGGATCTGCAACTACTTTAACAAATGTCTCATCCCTTTATACGAGTGTGTTTTTACTCTATTAAATTTTGGGTTTCCCTTCAGTGGGTTTAAGGAGGAGTTGCTGAGGCATATGAATATTTTTCTTTCCCAGTTGCACCCATCCACCTAGGAATTTTCTAAAGTGTTTAAATATTAGTGTGAGTATCGGGGTAAAGAGTCATCCTTTGGTCTCTTTTTTAATTTTTTTTATGTCACAAACTTCCAAGAATCCCCATTGTGAGAAGAGGATGCTCTCATTTTGTCAAGAATCCAATATGCCTGGTGTTTACATGGATAGCTAGAAGAGCTTAAAAAATTGATTCCTTCTTATAACTCCTCGAAGTCCATAGGCCCGCTCAGTATTTTGTGGGATTTCCTAAAGAATAACTTATTCTAACAGACATCTTTTTCTCCTCCTCAGCCAAGTGCAAAGGGAAGATCCAAAAGTATTGGGTCTAGAATCATTTTAGCCAAAAAAATAGTATGATTATGTTTTCCCTTATGAAAATATGACTCTATAAGAGATGTGAATGAAGAAATATTTGGTAACCTTATAGGAAAATCTAGGTTTCCTATAAGGTAAATGTCTCGAAGATGTGGGACATTCTATGTAGGAGAGAGGTGGCTTATCAAAAGTTGGGCTATAGTTGATGTGGTTGATTCCCATGAGAAGAAAAAACTCTTTGGTGAGGAGAGGAAATTTACTTTATACTTGCTTTTGATATTTCTTTGATTTCTACTAAGTAATTTTATATTTTTATAGATACCATGGCATATGTCAAGAGTCTTATGAATATGAGAAAGGCCACGATAATGGTTGATGCGCTCTAGGCCCATCTACCCATTCCACCTCTTACTTTAGCATAGGCAGAGGCTGACTAGCCTTTCTCTATAGTTGAGGCTTTGACCACCACTCAAGATTAGTCAACTTCCTCCAATCAGGTGAAAGATGGAGTAACAAATCCACTGACGAGAAATTTGAGGTGGCTAGTGGTAATAAAAGGTGGGGTGGAGATAAGAATCATATCTAGGAAGAAGGATCAAACAATAGGGCTAAGTCTTCTGGATTTGACGTTGTGAGGATCTCTTACTTCCCCTGAAGTGACTCCTCCCTAATTTTCAATTGCTCTTCCTTTTTGGGTACCTTAGACTTCTCAAGAAGTACATACCTATTTCATTGAGTAGGATGTTACCAACATCCAAAGCCTCTCTAACACTGATAAATTATAGTTGATAGCAGAGACTGCCTATAACATGTTCCATGGCGCTTCTTTAATGACCTTATCGGTTGTTGGTCAGGGAGAAATACCCGCTTCAAGAAAATTATAATTTATAGAAATTGTGATTGTTATCACTAGAGAAAATATCTCATTCAGGATCCCCCCTACTTTCTCGCCATCACTAAATCCAAGGATTTGATTCCTTGGCATCTCGATTGAGTTCTCCTTTCCTTCTTGATAACGGCCATTAGCTTGGAAATCTTCCTCTTCACCATCTATTTGGAGGTATTTCTTCCTTTTTGCACACCACCAATGACGGAAGTAATATATTGGCACTTCCTTTTATGGATTTCTTCTTCTTCATTGTTGGTATCTTTCCCTTTGGATTTGGAAATAACTTCGATGTTTTTTTAGGGATTTCTCCCTCTCAGAGGAGTACTTTTTCTTCAGTGGACCTTCCCGGCTTCAAAGTCCCTTCTTATTATCTCGTGTATTCGGTCATTCTCCCTTTATTGACCAACCCTTATATTGCATCCTACAGATGGATGCAATCATTTGTGTTATGATCGTGACTCTTATGGAAACGATGGTACTTTAACTTATCTATCTGGGTATATTCTTTGAGCGGATATGAATTCCTGACCCCAACTTTGTTGAACTCGGTGTTCGCGAATTTCCTTCCAAATTTTCTCCCTTGAAGTATTTATAGGAGCTTACAAATCAAACTTGTTGACCAAGTGACTTTAAGCACAAAAGGGGGGTAAATTGTGGTATTTAAAATTCGCGATAACTTTTATACTTTTATCGATTAAGATTGTATTAGTAGTTTCTTAGCATCGGAAAGATCAAAATCGTAAATTAAATAGCATAAATTAAAAGGATAGAGTTAGATAAATTGCACTAAATATTTATATAGGTTTGCCCCAATGTTGACCTTGTTTTGTCCACGAGAGATCTTCTTGAGAGTTTGACTATAAATTATGAGCTTTTAAAGGTTATGCGCACAAACCTTTTCTAAAACCTTATCTTTGAGATTTTAACAGGCTTATCCCTAACTAAAGATATATTTTACCCCCGACTAAGCTAACAAACCTTCTTAGAGATTTTCAGGTTGAATTGATCTTTATAACCAAAAACAGACTTTTTCTAGAAAAGCTCAATAAACCACAAGAGAGATTTTATGACTAGTTTATCTCATAAATAAAACTCAATCTTCTCAAGAGAGTCACACTCTTAAGAATTAATCAAATAGAACAACCACTTTCAAAGTTTTCCTCACAAGCAAGGTTTCACTCAAAATCATTATGGAAACTTTGAGTAAAAGAAAAAAATGTTTCTAGAGAGAGAAAGAGAGAAAATAGAGAGATAAATTTTAAAGAAAATGTAAAGCTTTGGAAAGTGGCGTGAAATGAAGAGTAGATGAGCCTCCTTTATATAGTAGTTGGAAAAATCAGAAAAGAAAATAATCCATGGGTAGAATTAATGAGCCAATTGATTGGAATAATGCTCCGATTGATTTTCCAAGTCATTTTTAATTGATTAACATGCTCAAATAGGAAATATTGGATATAGAGTTGTTTCAAGTTATTAAGGTGTTTTCCTAATCGTTTATCCCTTATCCAATTGATTGACTTAATGCTCCAAATTGATTGGCTAGCTCAAAAAAGTTTTTCCAATCAATTGGCACAAGTTATCAATTGATTAGCTAGATCAAAAATATCTTTGGAAAGGGATTGGACAACTTCTTAACACTTGGGTTGGCCTAGAAAATAATTTTTAAGATAAATTTTTTGAAAATGATGTTTTAATGTGTGTGTGTGTGTGTGTGTGTGTGTGCGCGTGCGTGCGTGCGTGCGTGTGTGTGTGTGTGGGGGGGGGGGGATTTCCTTAGTACTTAAGAATTATTCCTTACTTTTACAAAACTCGGGTCACTCAGACAGATAAACGAACACAACATGACAATCTTTCACACTTTATCTAAGGATTCAAGATTCTTTGTTGGATTTCTCCTGATCATATAAGAACTTTAATCTTGAGTCTCTTTTTGTTGATGAGGCATAAGATGTTTCTCTAGTTAGGTCATCATCATCGAGGTTGAAAGTTATATCATCACTGACTTTAATCATTGTTATTGTCATCAATACTTCTTGGTGACAACCACTATCTTTCTCAAATGTTTGTTTGAGTCTAGGATTTCTCGCTCTTCATCCTCCTCCATCGTCCTAGAGTTTTGTTTCATAACTAATGTACAGTTGTACCTACTTAACAAATCTTTCAAACCATGGTCTTCTTTGAGTCTTAGTTTCTCTCGAAACATGCAGTCCATCCTGAACCCCTTCTTGAATATCCAACACTTCAGCTCGTTATCCGTGCCTCCCACGTCTACTACCATTTTAGTAAAATGGTCGATGTATCAGTGTTGGGTTTCTTTATTCTCATAAGTGATCCCACTAAGCATAACCATTGTTATGAGTTGCCTCTTTTGGGGTAAAATTGGTGGTTAAGGCCTCACAAAGATCTTGACATGAATCCATGCTCCCATCCGAGAGGGTTTTCAACCAAAACATAGCAGATCTAGGCAAGGTTAGTGCAAAGAGCTTGCACTTTATGGCCCTATGAGCATGATAATAATCTAATTGGTTGTCCATATGCTCGATGTGTTCATCTAGGTCCCCAGTTTCATCATAACTTTGAATTTTCTGAGGTTTTTCCAATGATCTTGGAATCCTGCTATCGAGGATGCGATTGGACAAAGGACTTATTTTTTGTTTCGAGATCAGAGCGTCTTCATCACACCCCTCCCTTCTTCAAGGGTGGAGGACCTCTGAGGGAGTGCGGTTATCGTTTCCCCCCTTCAGGCTCAAGGTTAGAAGTCATGTGTCTTAAGTGACAATGAAGACTCGGTAACCTAGATACTTCTCTTTGTTGCGTTTCTCCTCTGACGAAGGGCGACTCGGTAATGGTGGCTTAATTTCTTTGGGAGGTTGCCTCCCGCACAATGTTATTCTTTGAATTGATATGTTGTAGGCTCTTTTCAATCCTAAAAACCTTTTAGTTAGGAATTGCAAATTTTATTATTGCACCATATTATACTCATTATTCAGCAAATTAGTAGCTCTCGGTTTAACAAGATCTTGTCGCGAAGGATTGGATGGAGATGCTACCAAGACTGAATCGTCTTTTGTTTGATGGGGAGGAAGCGGGTCTTTAACAACTTTAGCAGCAGCAACGACGACTTGTCGTTGGACAGAGAAATGAGTGGCTTTAGATGTCACCATGGTTGTAAATCAAAAGAAGGATTTGATGAAAAGGAAGTTGAGATTCGAAAAAGAAGATCAAGAAACCGGTATCTGAACTTCTAAGAAATGAGACATGGATCTCTAGATAAGAGGATATCTAATTGTGGAAGTATGCGGGAATCATATTTTGGTTCCCATGACGACGCTAGTGTTCCTTGATAGATGCAGAATTGTTCGGTGAATGATGAAGTAGAACTTTCTACAGAAAACTTAAGTTTCTGGTACATTGGAGAAGAGTCTGACATGCAAGGTTAACACTCTGACGTTTAAGTTAGTAAGAGAACGAAAAGTGATGTAGGAGTGAGAATGAGTTTGAATATCTGAGAATATCACATTTTTCTCTTAAATAGTAAAAACGATGTGAATGACCAACAGTGCTCCTAAAAGCAAAATTGTCTGTCTCAAAGTGAATGAAAACCTACATGCTCTTCGAACATGTTATCCTTATTTTATCATTAGGTCTTTTGTCTTGTACTTTGAAGACGGCCCAATACAAATCTGTTGCATTATTTCATCAAAGAAGAATAAAAATAAATATGAATATTTAATCCATTAAAATTCGATAGCGATAGAATTCTTGTCTTTTTTTAACTCAAAAAGGATTCTTTGTCTGAAATATTGAAAGCACAGCATGTTAAACAACAAAAGTATTTGTACAATTCTCATACCTAGGAGTCATACATTATAAAGGTCAATCCCACAAGCAATTACAACGACTACATAGGAACAAATAATGTTCCAAAGTAAAAGGAAACACCTAACTTTAATTATACTAGCCTTGCTTATGCAGTCTATTGATTAATTAAGCAAAGCATATGCTACAAAAAACACAATTTTGTATCTTGTGTTATATGTGATTCCTTTCCATGCATGCATGATATTAATACATAAATAACTAAAATAAATTTCATCACTAGTGGTGTGAGTGAATTTGAAAAAGCTCGCTAGTGATTATGATGAAGTCCGTAGGTTCAATTGAAACAATGAAAGAACCTTATATATTAGCAAAGAGATATGATTGGAAAGGATTTCTAAAGTTTTTCCTTAAACACAAAGAGTTATTAGATAAACATATTGACTTGCATAAAAGCACTCCTTTTCACTATGCAGCACATTGTGGCAGCTCAGAGATGTACAACAAAATGCTAAAAGAGGTGAATCCAAATGAAATGCAACGTGTGTTGAGGTTGCAAGATGACATGGGAAATACACCACTTCATGAAGTGGCTTTCACAGGAGAAGTTGAAATGACAAAGAGTATATTGAATAAGGAAGTACTGTCAGAACAGTTTCCTTCGCGGTTGTTAGAACTAAGAAATAAGCTTGGAGAAACTCCTGTGTATAGGGCTGCTGCACTTGGGAAGACAAATTTAATCAAGTGTTTTGTTCAAGAGTCGGGTGTGGATTTAACGGAGCATTTTCATAGAAGTAGTGATAAGATGTCCATTCTTCACACTGCTGTCATTGATCAATTCTTTGGTTTCTCTCTCACACACTCTTTCTGTCTTTTTCAAATAGTAGAGTATAAATAACATATTCAAACATCTGAGATGACACTAACAGTTACATGTCGTCATAGATAATAATTTTAAAACAATAAATAAATTGAACATAATCTCATGTTTCAGTATCGTGTTGGATATTTGACACACCTATCAGGGTCGTGTCGGGCACTGACACGGCTTTGTTTAGAGGTGTTGTTAATTATTCTTGGAAAATCCTGAATTTATAGCTATGATGCTTTAATTAATTTTTTCTCTTTGGGAAGGAAAATGAGGTTGGATTTGTGTTGATTTTCAACGCATGCAGGCACAGCTTTATGGTTATTGAAACGGTACGACAAACTCGCTAATGAGAGGGAAGATAATGGCTTGACAACTCTACAACTGCTAGCAAAAATGCCATCTGCATTCAAGAGTCAAACCCAAATGGGAGCCTTCAAAAATTTCATATATCCTTGTAAATCTCTGATAACTTTATCTCTAAGTAATAAACATGCATGCAACTTTAACTAATAGTTGGAAAACTGTGTTTAGTGCTTCCTGATTATCAAGATTATGCATATTACCTTCCTGATGAAGATGATACAATAAAAGGACAAGATTTGGAAACTGGCCAAAAGAACTCAAATGAACCATATCAAACTCAATGGAAGCCACCACCACAAATTCATCGTACAAAACTCTCAGGTATGTGTGTTCATTATAGGTGATGTTATAAACAGGACCGTCTTTGAGGATGCGCAAGGTGGGCTATCACACAGGATCTAAAAATTATCACAGTTAAGCCTTGGCTAAATATAGTCTCATAAAATATTTTCATGATTAAATCGTAGTTAAATAAGACCAGGTTAAACGGTTAACTTACACAGGGCTTTCAAAAACTTGAGACAAATCTGATTATAAACTAAACACGTATTTTATGTATTCGTTTTGATTCGCATATTCAATACTCAACCATAAGACATTGTGAACCAAAATTTCAGGTTTTTCATGGATGTGGTATACTATGTGGAAGGTTCTTTCCAAAGGTGCAAGCTGTAATCAATGCTCATGATACGTTTCTCCAAATGAAATATATCTTGTTAGAATGTTTTGACATTTTGTTCTATCTCTGTTTAGAATGGAAGGGTATTGATAAACTTTGGAGGAAGAAAGAAAAGCATAACTTGGTTCAAGAACTTGTACACTTGTTAGCAAAGAATGACAAGTCATGGAAATTTAGTTCAACACATAAGGACAGAGCAGTTTCTTTGGGAAGAGCACTTAGCATTGTAGAAGGAAAGCAAAAAGAGAAACAGGAAGAACAAGATGTGACAAGCCTTAGACCTATTATTTATACACCTTTGCTTATGGCCGCTTGTAATGGAATCATAGAGATTGTAGAAGTGATTATTCATTTTCATCCACAGTCGATTGAGCATGTGAGTGAAGATGAGCAAAACATATTGTACATGGCTGTCAAACATCGTCAGTTAGGAATTTTTCTAATGTTGAAGAAACTAAATATGGTTGGCCGTCTCGCTGGAAAAATCGACAAGGAAAGTAACACTGTACTTCACTACACTGCTGATTTTAAAGGAGGGTCTCAACCTGGTTATGCCCTGCAATTGCAAGAGGAGTTGCATTGGTTTGAAGTAAGTATCGATAATGTATAGTTATTTTTAGTAGTAACACTAATCCAATTCTCATTACAATATGTCTATAATACATGTTATGCACATGTAAACAGCGCATTGAGAAACGACTACCTTATCATTATATCATTCACAAGAACAACAACGACCAAACTGCGAGGGATCTCTTTGAGAAAAAACATGGACATCTTTTGAAGGATGCTCGCGAATGGATTAAAGAGACAGCTCAGTCATGTTCTGCGGTAGCCGTCCTAGTTGCAACAGTAGTCTTTGCGGCGGCATACACTGTCCCGGGAGGCACGGACGATCGCGGATTCCCGAGATTACTTCATCATCCTATATTTGTAGTGTTCACAGTGATGGATGTTGTGGCACTTGCAAGTTCATTGGCCTCAGTGGTTATGTTCCTGTCAATCCTCACATCTCCTTGTGAGTTGTGGGATTTTAGGAGGTCTCTACCTAGAAAACTAATGGCAGGTTTTTCATTCTTGTTCTTTTCAATGGCCACAACCATGCTGGTGTTTAGTGCAACAATTTTGGTGAACATCAAGTTAGATAAGAGCAAATGGACTTCAAGCTTGACATATTGTGCAGCATTTTTTCCTGTAAGCATTTTTGCAATGATGCAGTTCCCTTTATATGTTGCCATGAAAGGGTGTTTCGCAGCACTTCTCAGGAGACTTAAGAAGCTTGTTCCTCGTTTCTTACTCAATTTGGTCAAAAGGAGCAAGAGAAATAAACTATGGGATATTTGATTATTTTTTTGTAACATTTTGTTTTGTCTATCGTTGGACATGAACTTGAATAAATAAGAGCATACTTTTTTCTTTATATGATTATGCATTTCTTGTGATATGCTATAGAAAACATTTGACACACCAGTTATGCAATGCAAATTTTAGTCGACTGCGTGGCAAAATAAAATTCAACTTAAAACAGGTCAACAGCACGCCATTATTATCAAAGTGGAGTGTACGATTACAATATCTACATCTACGTGTACTTATTTACATGACAAATAATGACACCAGGAAACTTTACAATCCGAATGGAACGTAGCAGCTGTACAAATTAATCACTGTCCAATGGTTCTTTTTCTTTATGCTGATGTCCAAGAGGAGAAAAGAATATGAAATTTGATGCTGAAAAACTTAATAACCATCAATCTTCAAATACAATTCTGCGAGAGCTCGGTAGAGAATAGCAGCAGCAGGTGGCCTAGGCAAGGAGCCAAGAAGTATATCTGTTGCAGTTAAAGACTGGCTGCCATAAAAACGAGAATTTTCTTGTGTGCGAGTGGTGACAATACTTCCTTCAAGTGAACAACCAACAAATGCACCTACCGGTAAATATAGAACAGGTCAAACACTACTACTCTAGAGGAGTTATTCCAATGCATTGCATATAGAAAAACATCATCTATGATTCATCATTCCCCTCCCTTATTGCACTCTCAAGAAGGCATCTACTGAACTATGCATACTAGTAAAAGTGTTATAGTAACATGCATATATCTATGTTGAATAGAAAAGTCCAAGTTTGATATTAGGCGAAATAAGACAGATTCCAGTTCAGTATATGAACACAAATAACAAGCATACCTTTACTGCAGCTGTAAGTATAACAAGCAGCATAGCCGCCATCACCAGCTCGAATATCAGCTTCAGCTGCCCTTCCAACAACGCCAACAGCAGCACTTAAACCAGCTCCAAGTGAAAGATGTGCATTACCACTAAATGTCTTGACAGCATCATTTGTTCTCAGAACAATAATGAAGTCTGTTAACTCCCCTCCAGCCTATGGTGGAAAAAATAAGTTAGCAATTGAAGATGACAAGGAAATAAATAGGTATCACAAAAACCTAGAGACATGCTGCATAGATGTGAAGTAGGAAGCTAGAATCAGTGTTGGGACTTGGGAGCAGTGGAGGATTAAATAGAAGATAAATAGGATTAAATAGTTTCTGCACGTCTAAGAATTACTATAAAATTTACTAAATGAAATCTCCTCATACTAGAATTGACTGGAAAGAAATGTTTAGCATATAGTGATAAAACTCTCGCTTTCAATCCATATTCACAAGCAAAGTCACCGTTAATTAAATTGTTTGGCCAATAAGATAGTGTGTAATAGGTTAGTTACTTCACCTGAGCCCCCCACCCCATTCCGAATGTTGAAACAGCAGATGGTGGAGACCATGAACCATCTTCCCTACGTGCAACCACAATTCCTGTTCCAATATTATAAGTAACCATCACTCCAACTTTGGCCACAGTGATAATTGCTAGACCTTTTGCTTGCCTAAGAATGACATCTGGAATTGTCTTATCGGGCTTTACTAAACCTATCTGCATAAAATCAAATTCTTCATGAAGTAAAAAAAAAAACACTGTTGGCAGTAAAATATGGTGTAAATGTAAACCTCAGCACCATGACATGTTGGCATAAGTAATACCATTGAGAACTTAAACTCATAACGTACAAAATTACAAAATGATGACAGCAACAAGGAATCTAAAAAATATGGTGTAGACTTCCACAACCATGACATATTGGCATAAGTAATACCAACAATAACTTAAACTAACATCAAAAAATTACAAAACGATGACAGCATCAAGGAATCTAAGGAGTTAACCAGATAACATCAGCAAAAAATTTAAATCATGCCGTGACAGGGTAGTCAATAGCGGCAAATAGCAGCACTATAGCAGGATAGCTGAGCAGAGGCCGGCCGCTACGGGAAAGCCATGCAGAACATTATAGCGGCCACTAATAGGGTAAATAGCGGGATAGTGAAGCGGAGCAGTTCCAGACCCAAAGTGGTTTCTGACCCGCTATCCTTTTTCCTTCTAAAAAATCAAAATTATCTCTTAATATTTTGTACTTAATTTTGAATTTCGGCATCTAATGTTTCGATTAAGACTTGTTGACGTTGATTAAGAGTTTCGATTAAAACTTGTTGGTTTTTGAGTGTTTTATTATTAAGTTTTGTGCTTTGATTGATGAAGATTTTATGGGATTTGAGCTATTTGTTTAATATTACATTCAATATACGTTGACAATTATTATATGTTATGTGTCCAAAAAATGATCAAATAACGTTCATCCCTCTATACGCTGTCCCGTTTTGGGAGCCGGACGCTCCGCGCCGCTATCTGGGATTGACGATACACAATTTTAAACTTTTTGTTTCGTTTAGGGGAGGGGATAGAACTTAATGCAGGTGAAAGGTCAGGACGAAGGATATATGGTAATACCATCGTCAATTTGTAAAGTCAAAATTTCAAAAGGCCATGAAAATATGTAACAACCGATGTTTATTATTCAATTTCTAATAATTCAAAACACAAACCTAGATTATTTGAGGGATTCTGCTTTGTGGCAGAGATAATTTTTAAATCGCGGTGTGGTCAAAAAACAGATATAGTGGCGCTATTGCATAGCGAAATTTGAATAAACGCTACTGTTCCGCAACATGCTATTTAGTATAAAGTGTTGTCAAACAGTTGCTCTGGCGGCGCTATACGACTCTAGCATAGCAGAATTTGAACAAACCGCTATTTTCCGCAATCCAAGGTTGACAACAGATTTATAAGTTTTGTTTGCCTGCTTATGCATGAAAAAATAAAATAAAATATATACCTGATTATAAGACTTGATAGTGTTAGTTGCCTTGTAAATTTCATATTCCATGGTCTGCCCCCAGGGAAAATTAACCCAGGATCTCAAAGTGCTTAGATCTGTAAGATCGTGGGTTGGTAACTGAGAAGCATTACTTACATGATCCATCAAATAAGGCTGTATAGACTCAACTCGGACAAAGCATACATCGCAGACTCTTTGGGGATCAGAAACTCGAAACTTTGATGGCATCAAGCTCCGTCCTTTAGAACATTCGCCACAAAATATTCCTCCACAAAACCGACAATGATGCCTTGAACACATGATTGGGTGAAACCTCACACCGCAGAGCATACAAGAAGCAGCAGCACTATCCGCCAACCATTTAGGAGGTTCAGCTTCTATCAACTCCTTCACATTACCAAAACTAGTCTCCGTGAGCGTCTGTGCCATCTCTCTCCAAGCTTGTTCAAGTACATGACTCGATAGCCACGAAAAGCTATACGTATGAATATCTCCTGATGCCAAAGACGACACTTTTCCTCTCGCCACAAGTAAAATCTCTACCAACACTTCCCACATAGTCAATTCCTTATCTCCTCCAACATATTGATTCCATCCCATATCATCCTCAGGAAAAAAACCTCCACTCGAGTGAAAACCTTTGGTCCACTCTTTATGATCATCTTCCAACATAGGTGGAACCGAAACCGGTATCCAAACTCCAGTATCTTCATTCAGCGGAGCATCATAATAAAAATACTTTCTCTGATTCTGAATACCAGCTAAAGCCTCCATATCCTCTTCATTCCTTTCCAACGATTCCTCGGGTAATTCAGGATATAATCTAGATAAGTTCATATTATTCTCCTCAGTGCTAACAGAAGACAAAGAGTCAGAATTCTCTTTAGTAACATGATTATGATGATTCCTCAAATTACCATCCACTTCATCATCCTGTCAATATTATCATATAATATCAAATCAACCAAATAAGGCACAAACAAAAAAACATCAAACGCCAATCTTAAAAAGGAAACATCAATATTAATAATTAAATTTTAACAATCTTAAAAATAAAATAAAAAACAGTAACATATAAAGATAATCAACAAAAAAAAATACAAAGCAAAAAAGTGCAGAAATTCGAGAAAATTTACCAGAGGAGAATATGAATTGAATATGTGATCACAAGGGGATAAACGTGAAACCCTATCAGATAAATCTTCTACAACTTGCACGTGATTCTTAGAATCGAAATTTTTGTCCTCCATTCGTAAACCTAAAACACCAAATTAGGGTTTATACATGCATATAGGAACAATTAAGTTTAATAATGAATTTAAATTTTGGGATAAAGAACGAAACTTTAGGAATAGAGAGGAAAAGGGTTTGGGGATAGAAATTGGAATTACAGCTTCAATGGCGTGTCTTTGTTAAGGAGTTTCTCTGTACGTCTCGCTTGCGTGCACACCCTGGACCTTATCATTCTACTTTCTTTTTCTCTCGTCATTATTATTTTTTTATTTTGTATATACTCTTTTTTTTTAATGTATGGTATCTTTTTTACAATAAATAAATAATTTTTTATGTTTTTTTTTATGTTAATCATGTGTCTTTTCAAATAAAATAAATTATACAGTTGTTTGATTTAAATTGTATACAGCATATCATAATCATTCTATGTGATTTTAAATATAATGACTTTAATTAATTTTGGGATTTTTTTTACTATTTTTAGATTGATGAAATATGATGCAATCGAAGAGAATGAAATGAAATTTGTTTATTTTCTATGGTAATAAAAAATAAAAACAAGAATTAGAATGAAACATTTTATTTTATTCAACTGCTTACTATAATTTCCTTAACATGTGATTTAGACATAATAAGAATATGGCTTTGTTTCGTATTAAAATATTTAAATAATATAATGAAATTTTTAATCGGTTATGTTTCACTTTATTTTGTTCTTTTTCAGTTCACTTGTTTGTTTTAAAATATTCAAACATAGTTTTAGAGTATGTTTGGATGGAACTTTTTAATAAGAGAAAATAATTTTTGAAGGAATTTAAAAATTGATCAAAATTTATTGTTTGGATAAAAAAAAATTGTTAAAATGACTTGGATAAGACTTGGGGGAAGTTTACATAACTCAAACTTTAGACTATTAGACTCAGAGGGAGCTTACAAACCTCATGCTCTGACGTTGTCAAGTTAATTAAACTAACCAACCATTAGTATTAAATATATTTGTTTGTCTTCATCAAAAAAGGATAGATTGTTGGAACAAAATCTGTCCATACTCCTTGGATTTTGATGATAACAAAGTGTTTAAAGAACAATTGGATATACTAACATTTGTTTAAGTGTGTATGACCATAAGCTCGATATTAACTTGGTTCTGACCCTGTGGGGGTAGAGTATATTATCTACTCATGTGAAAGGGGGGTTAAACACTCCAAATTTTACAACTTAAATGATTAGTAGAGGCCTTTGTAATTGTTTATTCATTATTACTATTATCCGTAGAAGGAAACTCCACCTCAAGATAAGTCTTCTCCATCACAGTTTCTAAAAGTTTCATCCCAACGTATTTACTTTTCTTTCCTTGGCGGGACACACTGAAAGCAAAATATCTATGATTTATGACCTTCGATCCTCTAGGTTCCACTCCTAACAACTCACAACACTTCCTACCTCTTGGATATCCACTAAAGACACAATCTAAATTTATCATAAATCTGAATTGAATTGATTTGCATAATATGAAAAACTTTGACGACCTTCAAAATAAAGTTGGTTACAGTTTTCCTACGCCAAATCTCCATAAGTGGTTGGAAGTCTATTTTTGTAAATGAACAACTGCCAACTAGGTAAGCTAATTGGCACCAGCCTTACCCTAGAAACTCAATGATAAATCAATGGTCACATGTGTTTTCATCCCTTGTCTTATGTAAAAATCATTAAAGTGCTATGAAACAACATTCATCTGTCCACCATGCATTGACTTCAAATCTCATAACTTGTTCTTATCATGAAATTTTTCACTAGTTGATGATAAATAAACAAAAATAATATAACCTTTTTGTACTGGTCAAAAAGTACAAGTGTGTGTGTCCCTCCTACAAGAGCGGGGAGACTCAGATGTCTTAGTAGGTTTATAACACGATATAGTCATTAGGGCTTACCCATGGCATCGAGAAGCCCTACACGGTTATGTTTTAAGGTAGTTTATGGGTCTTGCTCACATAAAGTGAGAGGCTCAGCAGATGATTGATGATGCTTGGGAGTAAACATATGGTTACGGTCAATCGTGTGTTATGACCTAAGTGTTATGCTCTTTAGGGTGTAAAGAATTTTCCTGTCTTAAGACATGTATTCTCCCCTTGAGGGGAAGAGTATTTATAAAGGCTCTTTGGACCTAGGGTTTGAGTAGCCCTTAGTGTTAGAATAAGATTTGGTTCTGCAATATTATCTCTGAATTTTGATGATAACAAATGAGTATGTTTGTATGAACAATTTTGATACTCTAATGTTTATTATTTTTTAGTATTTAATAAACAGGTTCTGCTTCTGATGGATGGTGTAGCCAAAACATTATAAGAGAATTAGTTCCACTTATGCGTTACACAAGTTCTCATGAACAGTAGTAAGATACTCCATAAGCTTTTGAAGTGTAGGCTCTGATGTTTGTCTAAAGAAACAAGTTAGAAGATCTGAAGACATAAGTTCTACTTAAGTCCAGATGCTAAAGACTCGTGCTTCTAAAGACAACGTGTTCTAAAGAAACAAGTCAGAAGATCTGAAGACAGAAGTTCTACTTAAGTCCAAATGCTGAAGGCTCATGCTTCTAAAGATAACATGTTCTAAAGAAACAAGTCAAAAGATCTGAAGGCAGAAGTTCTACTGAAGTCCAGATGCTAAAGACTCATGTTTCTGAAGATAATGGGTTCTAAAGAAACAGTCAGAAGATCTGAAGACAGAAGTTCTACTTAAGTTCAAATGCTAAAGACTCGAGTTTCTAAAGACCCAAGTTTCTAAGAAAAGAGTTCTAAAGACCAAGTGTAGAAGACTCTAAAGACAAAAGTTCTAAAGACTCTGAAGACTTGAAGTTCTAAAGACCCACGGTTCTAGAAAAGGTTCTCACGACCAAGTGATGAAGACTCTGAAGATGCATTTTTTAAGACTCTGAAGACTTGAAGTTTTGATGACCTTGTGTTATGTTCTCGCTTCTAAACTCATACTCGCAGAAGACTCTGAAGTGCAGAAGGAAAGAAGATAATGTTAACGTGGTACAAATTGTGAACAACCTTTTTCTTTGAGTAGTTTTATATGATAGAAAATGTGTGTGATATAAGTATTAATGAATGTTTATTGTGCTTGATCTCTATGTGTGCATGTCTGGTAATAGTGTAGCATGTTCTAAATGAGTCAAAAATGTGTTTTACACATGTATCATGATTTCAGGTCAATACAAAATGCTTTGCATCGACACATACTTAAGCTAAAATCACAAAAACAATTTTGCTTCAATATGAGTCGACTCATTCCTACTTTGCATCGATACATGTCATGTTCATGCTACTGGAAAATGTTTTAAAACCTTTATGCATCGATACATGCGCTCATGCATTGTTACATATCATTTCTTGTTTTCTGGAAATCAAAACCAACTCGGTATGAATCGACACATTCACATTTTGTGTCGACACATACGAAATCAATGGCTTTGGATTTTGTATGGGCATCAGTTTGTATCGACACATAATGCTTTGTATCGACTCATCCCATGTTTTGTAACTAATATGAGTAGACTCATATGAGATATGCATCGACTCATACTGAAGTTCTTGCTTCTAACATTTTTCTCTTACATATATAATTCAGTTTTGCAATCAAAATTAAAATAGGTGTCACAAATACAGTTGGTGTGCATCTGCTTTTCTGAGCATTAGAAACCTGAAAGATACTTCATCTTCATCATCTTATCAATCACCTTGGTTCAATAACATCGAAACATAATCATCTTTGTTCATTGGATCAAGGGATCTTAGAGATGACATTCAGTGGTACGATTGATGATCTTAGCTGAGTTGAAGATTCATAAGGGGGTTTCAAGGAAAAAGCAGAGGGTTTGTCCTTTAAGAACGGGTGTGTTCTTGCGGGTTTGTCAGTCACGATTGTACAGGTTAGGTTCAGCCGTAGCGTAGGGTTTAGAAATCAGGGTGATTTCACAAACAGGTCGTGGAGTGGAGGATTGATTGTGGATCTTGCAAGTGATATCTTGATCAACTCATATCAAGTAAAGGTTCATACAAGAAGAAGAAGATATTAGTGATTAGGTTCTGTCTTTGTATTGTAACCTTGTAAACAACATTCAGCACTTTGAAATAACAAGTCTTAATTTCAGTTTGGAATTGAGAGGGAGACGTACCCACACGCGATGACGATAGTGGGGAACTTCCTTGCCAAAATCCTTGTGTAACGTTTTTCTTTCTCTCTTTCTCTTTACGTTTTCTGCACATTTATGATTCAATTAGTCTACTGGTTTTTCTGTTCAATGATACAATAGGGGTACAAACTCTTTTGCTAAACCACCATTATTATTGATCATCGAACAAGCATATGCCAACTGTTCGACAAAAGTGCTTGCAAGTTTATTTTTCTCATTGGAAATAGTGTTCTTGTGATAAGCGCATTGAAACGTACATTTTATTTGTGTTAATTTTCATCTATTTCATCTTAATAAAAATCTAGCAAGTTTATCGCATGTCCGGTTTTTTAGTAGTCGGTTCAAAATAGACGGAAGTCGAATCAGGACCGTGTTTTTCCGCTATTTGTAATCAACTTTCATAAAAGATTTTAATCCTTGAATAATAATGAGACTTCAAGCACAAACTTTTCAAGTTTCAAATACTTGGGGCAATTTATGTCAAGTTCATGGTGAGGTCTAAAGTTTCTTATGAGGGTGCTTCCTCTAGATCCTGGAGATTGAGGGGCACATCTTTCAAAATTCAAATGTCGGGGCAAACCACTGCGAGGCTCGATCAAAAGGCGTTGATTCAAAATGGTTCATCAAAGCCAAACATTTTCAAGAGTCTCTTAATGAGGGACATAATACAAAATAATGGGGTCATTCATATTATGATCAAACTATTTCCAAGCTCATATCGATGAGAATATCTTCTAAGACCCTACCAATACATCGGAAAAAGATAGTCCACGTAGGGGCAAGCTCTATGTACTTTCATAATCTCCAGCAGATCTCTCT